GAATCGAATAATGTCACTCGCGATCACTAGTGAATTAAAGATAAAAATCGCGCAATAGCTCGAAGATATGCACTCGATAAGTAATGAACACTCTCGTTACTAAGCAACGAAGCACTTGGCTTCAAAGTGAGAAGCCCAAAAGGCGGTACGACTGCGCGAGATTCTAATAGGCCCTTGCAAAATTGGCGTTCGCGTTCCACGTCGTGTCACCATCGAAGCCCGAATATGAATGAATGAAACGAGCTCGCGATATGTATTATGATCCAAACCGCAAGCGAGTCTCGAGTATATTGTATATACACATAATGTTGCCGGGCTGCCTCGACGATAGCGGCAGTGGCGGCAAATTTTTATTGCTGACGACGTTCGTTTCTTCTTAATACGACGCTTATGATATATAAAGTGTCGCTGGCGACCACCACCGTACCGCGTCGAAGTGCGTAACCTTAGAAGGAGGTATAAGTTATTCATCGCAAGCCACGAGCTTTATGCGCGCATTGGGCCAGGAGAATCGGAATTCAACGAATCGCGACGTTCTTTTATTTTCATTTATTTACCCGTGCTTTTTATTACAAAAATATTAGTGGTACTTTTCTCTGTTTCATCGAGTGCTTCCGAGAATACACGGCTCTTTTCTCCCCGCACATTATCGGTGCGCCGAAAACTAATAAAATGCGTTTGAAAAAATTGTCGCTCGCGTATAGCTTGCGTAGCGCGTGTATATGCTCGATTAGATACAACAGCTACAGAGCGAGAATGAAAAAAAAAGAGGAAGAAAGATTCGAGACCGTTGCGCCATTTTATTTTTCCATTCGTGTGCAGGAATTGCCTAAAAAAAAGTATAAATTTTTGTGTGTTTACGTATACATGCAACGTATTGGCATTCAGCACAAGCTCTCTCGGCTCGCACATGCTTATACACATACACACACAGACACAGACACACACACACACACATATAAATGCTGGAATGGAATCTACGTCGAATAATCTCGTTGGCGCGCTGCTGCTGCTGCTGCTGCCGCTGCGAGAGCTTATCTAGCCGGTGCAAAAGAAATTGCGAGAGCTCTAACGGTCATAAAAGCCAGAGCAGCAGCAGCAGCGCACGCGGGGCTGCTTGCTGGCTTGCTCGCTCGCGAGCGAGAGAGCCCGGCGCGCAGCAGGTAACTCGATCCATTATGTATACATAGGTTTCTCGGAGATCAGGCCGGATATTGTTCTTATCTCTTCTCTCTCGCTCTGCCCTCTCGGAGCTCTCTTGGGCTTGAGCGCACGCGGCGGTGGCGGCGTCGGCACTACACCGCGCGCCGATCTGCCTTCGAACTTTTGTTCGCATTCGGCGCGCGTGTGCACCCATGAGCCGCAGCGCGCGAGCGATATAAAACGAAAGAGAGAGAGAAAAAAATAAATAAATTGTAGCACTTTCGTTTGAACGTAAAGCTCTCGAGCTCGTGTGGCGCGGCGCGTATATGTAACACCTCGTTTTCGAGTCGGATCGCGCTGTGCACGTGGAGAGTCTCGCTCGATACATGTTATATGTACGCGCGAGCAGCGATACGACACTGCGAAAAAATTCCGAAAATCAAGCGAGCGCGTGACTCGATGTCCGCTGCTACTTTATATACCTATATTATATGGCGATCGAGTTGAGGGAAAAAGCTCTCGTGCACTGGCCCCGAGATTTCCTTGAAAAGTACTTGAAAAGCGATACATCGTAACATTCGAGGTGCTTTATACATATACCACGTCGCGGTTCGTGGCGTAAAGCTGTAAAAAAAAAAAAAGAATAAATAAATGGTTGCCGGTGGTATAGTCAATGTGCCATCGCTTCCGTCAATATATTCATATAAAACAACTCGAGAGATGATCGCAGCATCGATCGACCTTTTCTTTCAAGATCACGAGCTCGAAACGGCTTGAGCGGGGCGTAGGCATTATAACACGAGTTTATACTCGCGCGCGTTTTACAATGAAAAAATTTTCATTGATAGGCCCGTGTAATATGTATATCGAGTTATGACCGCGATTCGCACTCGCAGATGTAATATATATTGTAATCAGCGCGGCAAGTACGTACAACACAGAGACAGAAAGAGATCGGAGCTGCGGCCGGAGAGAGGGACGAAAAAAATTTTTTTCATAAGCCGGCAGCCGGGTCTGGAGAAAAGCGCAGTGCGTGGCAGCCTCGTTGCAGTCCGGCTATACGTGTCGGCGAGTACAACATCTTTCGACATCCTGTGGGCGTTCCGTGAAAGCGACTCGTATGTACAGGCACTTGTGATAAATAAACCATAATATGCATACATATCACACAGACATGTGCATTTGAGTGTGTGCATTTTCGCGGGAGTAGTTGTGCATAATACGATCCTGAAGATCGGCCGAGTATATAAATCCAAAGGAGAGATTAATTGCTCGACTACGAAGTGCTAAGGCTGACCGACGCTTCACAGCTCAATTTCATATTATTATCCCGATCGCCCCGTTTTCAATATTTTTGTATGTGTGTTTACGTATATGATATAGACGAATGTATTTGTAAGCACAGTCAGAATTTTACTCTACAGTAACAATAAACAAACGTAAATTCTGTACAATAGAGTCAATTTCTATATGCCATACCGAGTCTCATCCATGCACGTGCAAGTATGCACCCATGTGCTGCGCTCTGAGCGTTTGATTTACGATTTATAATTATTTCAAAATAATTTCAATGACCTTTAGTGTACGCGTATCACCTAAAAAATCTTAATCAATTTCTGACTTTACTTTGTCGAATGATTTTCAAGACGTCTACAATACGAGATGAACCTGAAACTTTTCTTTCAATGAACCAGAAGTGCCTTATTATTCGCCTTTTCTTTCTCTCTCGATCTATTTGAATTTCTAAGTAGTGGCCACTATGATGGAAAACTCGCTAGCATTCCTTTAATTACCCTGAAGCAACGATCGTTAAAAAGCCATTGACGCAGCACGCACGAGAGCCGAGTTCGTGCTTATATTAGGAAGCCCCGTGTGAATGAGAGAACGAAAGAAAACGCTTATATACAAGCGTATTATATTTCATAAAAGCGCACTAGAAGAGCTCCCTGGCCCATAGTGTGTATAATCATATTTTCCTCGAGTTGAAAAATTACCCGTCCGAGTAAAAAAAGGTCTACAAAACTTCTTGTATGCTTGTGTAGTCGCGTACACGTGTACCTGCGTGCGCACCTGCATCTGTACGGACTTTATCGAGACATGATCATCGCGTATACGTATACGTAAGTACGGCATTATATATACATATGCGCAATATGCATCGGTTGCATCGACATCTTCGTTCGATCATGCCGAGAGATTTGCCCTCTCGGGTGCTCAGCTCGCGCGCATAGCTCGATCTGGTACATCGAAATTTTTCATCGACCCTCGCGCGCGCATTTGCCGAGTATGTATAATATATATATGGGCGCTCTCTGCTCTGCGCGCTAGCTACATAGCTGCCGAGCTTAATTTTCTAAAACTCAATTATCGAGCCGCGCGTGTACTACGCGAGACGAGGCAGAAAAAAATCAATCTCGGAACAATCGATAAATATGTAATAGCCCTACGTGGAAGTCGCGCTTGGCTATGTGCACCACCGTGCTACTATAAACTATATATCTATACGTAAGCGTAAACAGAGATCGATTCGCCGCTGATAGATAAGGTCCCATATCCGTTTGCACAATTGAGCTTCGTGAAGTGCACCACTCGCGCAGGAAGATGGATGTATTATATATACGCGCAGAGACGCGCAGGATTCGCGTCGACGAGTGCTGGTGCGCGCACACAGCTTGTTTCTCTCTATTCACGAATACGACTCATCTATTCCTTTCTCTCTCTCTCTTTCTCGTTCTCTCTCTCTCTCTCTCTCTCTTTCTCTCGTTCGTTCGTTCACGATCGCGAGCCATTGAAACTCCACTCGTCGTTGAAAAATGAATGATCCTCGCGGTACAGCCCGCGATGCAACTTTACAAGTGCAATCACTCCGTCTCCTTCTCTCCTCGTGCGGATATATATCACGCGTGCATTATATACATACGAATCGCGAACTGTCGTGGTTTGTAATGGCCAATGATGCGCCCGTGTGCGCTGGTTATACATTTTTATACATTCTTCGGAAAATTTTTCAAAATGAAGTAAACGAAATTAAAATATTCGTTTTGAATTGCAGAGTCATAGAGCCTCCATCAAAATGATTTAAATGTCATATCATATGTCACTTAATTGACATTCGAAGAGTCGAATTGAAAAGGATGATGATTAATGAAGTAATATGAATAAATGGATTCTTAATGGATATAAGGCTAAAAAGATTTCATTTTCTAATGAGTCCCCGCCTACGATTGTTAACTGGGACTTAAGGGTGGGGGGGCTGCGTTAGAATCACCTATTTCGGCCTGATGCTGTCTTCAAAAAAATTAAGAAGCATTCTCCGATCAAGAGCTGATGAGTGTAGATCGATCTTTTTTAACCCAGCTGAAGTTTACTTTAAAATGGATTCAAACGCCATCACCACCCCAAAAGCCAAGAAACCGATGAAGAGAGTTAATAAAAAAAGTATCTCTAAAGTAAGTAAAATTTATTGTTTATGCACTGTTTTTTATTAAAAATTCTTTGATTATTGGTTATTGGAAATGGAAAAGAGTAATGGAAAAGAGTTCACTTTAGATTTCTCCTTGTGACAAACTCTACGTGCCGAAGAACAGTTTTGACAATTTTATGAGCTTATAACTCATCGTTAGCTAATACATTCGGATTCATTTGCTTTAAAAAAAATCGGTCTCTGCAAATGCAGACGTCGAAACAGTAGTATCACCGGCGTAGTAGGCAAGTGGAGATTCTTCTTGTCACAAGGAAAAATTCCCCTTGTCTCAAGTAAACTCGTTTCTGCTACTGTCAAAACAAAACTAGTCTTCTTGAACGAAGGGTAATCTTTGCTCTCATTGTATGTTGTCATTTATGTTATGTTTATTTGTTCTCGTGTTCTCGCGCATGAGTTTGTGGCGAAGAACTTGACCGCGTCGACGTGGTGCGCCGAGTACCCGTTCTGGCCCCTGTTGAGACTTCTTCGGGGAATTTTTTTGTTCTCGTGTTCTCGCGGATGAGTTTGTGGCGAAGAACTTGAACGTGCCGACCTGGTGCACTAAGTGCCCGTTTTGGCCCCTGTTGAAACATCTTCGGGGAATTTTTTTGTTTTCGTGTTCTCGTGGATGAGTTCATTTGGGGAACGCTTCGACCCGTCCACTTTTGTGATGCGTGGCACTTTTTTGTGATGTATTCTATAACATACCAAAAACGCGTCAAGATTGGTGACATACGTGCGGACGAAAATTTAAAAAAGTATTATTTTGACCCATATATTATCTATTATTTTATCAAAATTATTCATTTTAATATTACTGACCAAAGGGCTTTCTTTCATTATAACTTTTTTCTTTCTTTTATTTGTTGATTCTAATAAAAATTCATTAATCCCATATTCGAAAACAATATATCAAACTAGACTTTCGCACAAGAAAAAAATTTACATTTGAAAATTATTATTCATCTTAAAGTAATGTAAAAGAAAAAGAAATTAATGTTTATGAATTAAAAGCAGACAAGTTAGTTATTTAAGTATATAATTACAGATAAGTCAAGTGAACGGATACAATCATCTTTAGTATTTGTCTGTATTCTGTAAAAGATTTTCGTCGCTAAAATGAAAATTAAAAAAATTATAATAACATCAAAAAAAAGAATCGAAAATTAAAGTATAAATATTGTTGTTCTCAGGCCATGGAAATTTTTTATCAGAAATCTTTATTAGCTCGACTATATCGTAAACGATTGCTTTCTTTAAGGAAACACACCTGTCTTTATGCCTATAAATGCAAAATTAAGGATTAATATTAACATTTTTTGTTTCGGATCATAAAATATGTTTTTGCAGGTTTTTTTTACAACAAAAAAAATATGTTTGGGGTTTCTATTATTATCAAAATTCATCCAGGATACATATATATTGACTGGTAATTTTTAAGTCCTTGTCAACGTGATTTTGATAATATTTAATAATTTTGATAATTTTTATAATCAAATTCTTATCCACTCAAGTATAGCAGATTTTTTATTTAGTTAATTTTTTAATCTACTAATCTCCAAATTTCTCATAGACCTATTTCGACGTACAAATTAATGCCCTTTTAGAAAGTCACTGTACTATATTTAAGACGAAAAGGAGAGATGATGTTTCGTTAAGTTAAATCTATCAAGTTCTTGGGTTATTTTGTATTCAATGAACCATGACCAATCACATAGTATATCGATAAACATAATTCTATTATATTCTATTATGTCTCAACATTTAAAATTGTTCAAAATTTAAATATTTCATAAATATGTCTTATAATGTTCTTACTCCTCCAATATTTCTTAAAATTTCTTTGAAACAATCTGAGACTGAGCGAGCGTGAGCGAGCGAGGAACGACGCTAGTTCTGATTACTTTTTGACCAATTTTGATCCCTGTATTTCAAAAGCTCCATAAACTTTCTTCCATTTATGTTCTTTTGAATTATATTCTATGTTCTAATAAATTATTTTTTCAAACTTGACAAAATATAACAATAGGCGTTGAAAAATAAGGTGTTTTATGTATATATGATTTTTTTTGTGTTAGGAGGCCAAAAAGGCGCAAGCCAGTCCCAAGGAAAAGACCGATTCCGAGACGGATACAGCTTCGGAAGGTGAGGCGAAAAAAGACGATGACAGTGGTACAGATACAGCAGCGGAAGAAGAGATGCAGCAACCCCGCAATTTAACAGCAGTCTACGAGGAGGCGAAGCATCTCTTCAATATATCACCCTTCGAGGTGTTAAAACCCCTCACAAGGATATGGCTCGCAGCCCAATACGTAGAACTACAGGATGCATTATCAGAAGCAACTGACACCGGTCGGCGGCAATGAATGAAGAAGGGAGCCTTCTTTTATATATAATATATGTAAATATTAAATTAGTAAATAATAATGAATGTATTATATCAACTAAAAAATTTTATCATATTAATCAAAATAAAAAATAGCCAAATAGGCATTCAAAGTGAACATCATGTAATAAAAACTTTTCACTGAGTAATAGAGTCAAGCGCTAGTCTTATTGATAAAATGCTGCTACTTTCTATGTAAGTAACATAAAATTGATAAACATTACATGTTTTAATTTTATAAATAGAACCTGACTAGCTTTTTGTATATAAATTGCGTAATAAAAGTTTCCCAGAAATGTATTTATTTTCTATTTTTTTTTTTCGACACAATACCCAAAGCTGCCACGTTTTGAAGAAACAAGGAGAGCGTATCTTACAAGGAGACCGTATCGCTGTATAGTTCTGCTGATATACTTGTCAAACGTATAGCGTAGCGCGTGCGGTGATGTACGAAAGCCCCGTGTGCCGCGCACCGGCTCGCTCAAACATATATATACGTATCGCACTCGAGTCTTATGATTCGCTTCATTTTATCCTTTTTGGCATGCGGATATCTGAAGGCAAATCGTTGCGAATGAATAATTTCGCTCATCAATTTGAGAGTCGGGACAATTTATGTAAAGCAATCGTCGTGCACCAGTGTACACGAATATACACGTGTACCTGTACGTAAATATAATCGATCCCTTTCAATGAATCGAGAGAGTAGCCTTGGTCAACGACATGTATCGATCGACTTGCAAGTTCGATCGAAGGTTATAGCATTAAATGTATCGCAGGGCCTCGATCTGTGCGATCGACTGATGCCACCGATCTATACAGATCACCTCTAAAGTTCCTGTCCTGAATATAAAATAAAATAGAGTATATTGTACACAATAACGCGGGAAATAGAGTCATACGGGACGTTTTTTCAATGAGTCCCGTTTAGTTTTCATTTTACTGTTTTTGATTATAGACGAAGGAAAAATCGCACAAAACCCCATTCTCTTTCGCACTTTCCAATTTAACTTTTAGATATGAGTACACTGTGCTTAACAAACATCTGGATGTATGACATTAACGAGTAAAAATAAAAACGACCTCGTTTTTCATCACGGTTAACATAATCAACGGCAACGAGTAAAAATAATGAAAAAAAATCATCGTGGATCAAGGCAACTAGAGCAGCATCCGAGCTAGCGACCGATCATTATTATCCTCCGGAAAAATTCATGGTCAAATTGCTCAAGCTTTTTCCCCCTTTAAAAGCTTAATGCACACGTGGGCTTGTGAATGTGTATACACGTAGACGGCGAGCTTAATTAAAAACGATCGCAGCAGTACTAAATTTCGCGAAGATAAGCATCTAAACTTAATGTTTCTTAAAGGTGGAAAAAAATCACAAACACGCTGTGAAGAAGGGGCGAGGCCCCTTTAAACTTTACGGCTTTGCCGTCACATTCAATTACGGATGCGGCCGAGCGCACGCGGCCACTGTATATAGTGCGCCCATCGGCGTCAGCGAGTCACGCTGCTGTTCGCGCGCTTGCACCTCGGAAAAAGAGACGGTTCAATTTTTTTTTTGACCGAACTCCTACAATTTTCTACTGCTGATTTTGTGCACGATTGTAATACTTACCGCGAATACGTACATATGTGACGTACAGTTTTTGATCGGCGGTGCGCTTAATGCTTACACGAACTGCATACGGAAAAAAAGGACAAGCCGCGCTCGTACAGAACGGTCGATCAGAGATTAATGATTTTCCAATATAATTTCAGCGGCTACGATTATACATACGAATGTAACACGCGCGCGCGCGAGCTATGCACATTAAATGCGGTGTAAATTTCGATAAAAATTGCCCGCGTATTGTGCGCGCTCGATATTCATTGCAATTTATCTTGGATGAAAGGCGAAGCGAAAAGAGCAAAAGAAAATCAAACAATCCCGAAAGAGATATCCCCAAGTACGTATTAACGACACTTTACATTATGACGAAGGTTTGCATGTGCCGTCGTGCTGTTGTGCCCAGTGCACACCGTGGCGAGCCTTTTAAAAATAAATTAAAACGATCTTTCTCAAGCTGCTGCTGCCTGGGACTCTTATAAACCCCCGGACTATATATCGAACTAAAAGAAGAAAGGAGAATCCGGTTTTGTTCGGGGCGCGCACTGCAGTTTATATAGTCCAAGCACGCGATGATAATTTGTTGTGTGTATGTGCATTTCTTTCCTATTTATTTTTACTTTTTACTTTTACTTTTAGCGACGTTTTATCGCGGCTCTCGTGCGAACGCGCGTACGTGCAAACTCAGGAAGATCTCAAAATGTTCTTTTTTGTCCTTTTGCGCGAGCCGTACACCTACGCACGCGCACGCACAACTTCCATTGCATATTTCGTCTTCGCGATTAAGTTGTCAATATCGTACACTTATTTCAGATAAAAGAACTACGAAAATTAATATAATCAATTGAGACTCGCACTTTGACTTCCAGCATCACGATCAATCGTCTGGCACTATTTATCATTAAAAAAAATCTATACAAGTTAATTATATATTTAACTCATACCCAATTAATGTTATTTAAATCTCTCTTGCGCCATAATCTTTGTGGGTACAAAAAAGTCTACATATCAAGTTCCGCTGCAAATCGAAGCCAATAAAATGTATATCCGAAGAGCAAAAGCAACGGAGGCCATTATAATTACCGCGTAAATTTACTTCTTTGTTTTCAAGGCTCGCTCTTCATCTCTCGTCAATAGCATAATAATCGTTTGTGCAGAGGCACGTATACATATATATTCTATAGTTACACGCTCACTTCTTCATTAAAATTGTGGCATTGTGCGTCTTATTTACAGTCACGCATAGTAGGAAATCGATTGATAATTTACGTAAAAATGATGCATTCGCGCGCGGTTCGTATAATTTGTTCGTATTTTTAATCGTATCCAGCGTGTCTATTCGGCGCAATAGGTGTGCTTTGCATACGCGCGTCTACGTACGACATGTAAAGGACTTTTTATCCGGGACTCTAATTAGAGTGAGAGAAGATGTACTGCTGCTGGCGCAAAGGTCCTTGGCTTTTCTGCGAAAGTACATGTGTATGCGCGCGCGCGTGTGTATGTGTGTGTGTATCTGCAGGTAGAGAAACAAGTACTAACGGTAATATTCTTCGGTAGAGGAACGAAGAGAGCCGGATTCGCGTTTGTGTATATGCAGATTTATATAAATTTACGTCGACAGGAAGTCACAAGGCTGCATTAAGTAGCCATGGATCACTGCTATGGTACTGTGCCCGCTAAAATTTGCCATTTGCCTTCGCTCTTGCAGCTTGCACTAGACCTCCAGGCTGATGTCGAGGGGTGCGCACATTAAATATTATAGTGATCGCTGATATTTATATGTCAATGGTTCGATATAAGTTAATCAAGTTTTTTTATTTTAGTAATTGAATATCATCTTTATTTCACAATGTTTATCATGATAATAAGTATTTATAACTAGATCATAAATTTAATCACAAACATTTAATCTAATTGTTAAAAGAAGACAAAATAATCGTCGAAAATCGTCGTGGAGCTATTCTAACATAAACTTCTATAGTATGTAACTCATTTTGATGGAAATTTTTCCAAAATACTTTAAGTTCTTCCACAGATAATTCTTTAATGATGTCTGCTATTTGCTTACATATGAGGTGTGTCAAATCATCTACACCTAAACGGTAAGCTGATTCCAAAAGCTTCGCAAGTATGTCAGCATCAACCTGAAACATTATAAATATCATTTTTACTTGTTAGATTTAAAATTTGAAATTTCACTTAAAATTTTAAACTTATATTTCGATAGTAAAAATATTCAAACTTAATATTACTCAAATATACCTGCAGAAATTCTCGGTCCCACTCCGTCATTTGAACGTCCTCATTGACATTTTTTATTATCGGATCATCTTTATGATGAGTGGCGAATTCAATTATCTTTCTTAAAAAATCAGACTTAATATTGGATAAAGGAATAGGTTCATCCAAGACATCCTCGTCCATTTCAATCAGTGATCGTATCACTTCTGAGCGCTTAACAATTGCTAACTCCGCTTCAAAAACCACATCGTCTTCGCTTTTTAACTAAACGATAGTCATCTGTAATAAAATTAAAAACGATATAAGTCAAATGTTTTGCAAATATTCTATTGATTTAAAAATATTCCATATATTTAAATTGTCTAATCACATATCTCTAACTATGGTAAAATGATGTAGGTGGGGCTAGGTCATGGTTCAGATTTAAAAAATGTCAAAAATTGTATATGAGCTATGTCGCGTCAACTGTCCCCCTCTCTTGGATCAAAGTTGGAATTTGATTTTTCATATTTCATTATGCTTCCCAAGAGTGAATATGAAAAAATTGTGAAAATTAATAAATAGTTAAAATTCCAGTCAAGCCCGCATGTGATCGAATTGACCGCAGCAAGTGATTTTCGTGAAAAAAGTGAATTCACTATAATGCAACGGAAAGCCTTATAACATTATCATAGATGTACTGGGGAGTATTGGGATGACGGAATTTAGTTTATATACATATCCATCATAATTTGTCTTAATTTACTCATAAAAATTGATACTTTTTCTTCACGAAAATCACTTGCTGCGGTCGATGCGATCATACGCGAATAGCATATTGTAAATGTAAAAATGTATGAAATTACTAATAAAGCTTCCAAGAAATTTATAAAAATAATTTTTTAATAATCAATGAATAATAATTTTAGTGACAAACTACAAGTCCCGATCTAAAAGTATAAGATGATGTCGTTTTCATCGTGAACAAGAATATCGCTAGAAATTTTTGAAATACAGGTGGGCAGTGCCTTTATGTATTCAATGTAACACGCGCAAGCGCTGCGGCGCCACTCAAGTTTCGGGTATAGTAGATTCGGAAAATGACAACAGTATCACTGCGCTTGGATCTTTCGATGTATAGCAATAAGGTAGCTTGAATACCTCGTTTACAATATGACTTTAAATCAAGAAAACTCTAACGAGGTAAATTTTTAATCCAAACGTCGTTTAAAAATCAGATTAACATATTTGTCGACTAAATTCCAACACGTGCGTCTATGTATTGTAACGTGTGTAGAGCATTATTTGGAAATTAGATAGCTTAAAGATCTAAGCCATGAAAAGGGAAGCCCAAAAGCCCGTATTTTTCAGCCTCGGCCGCTTATTACACGTACTCTACTACTTTTTTTGTGTTTTACGGCCTAGTACAGTAATATTCTAATGCTAATGACTTCACCGTGGGATGTCTATTCCGATTGTTACACTCATTTGTAAGCAAAGAAACTTTTGAGTGAGTCGTTGAAAAAAAACTTTTATTTCATTTTTTTGGTAGAATTTATCATTTTTGAAATTGGGTTATCTCTTAATATATCTTTTATTATATAAAAGTAGCAAAAATCACATTTTCAAGAGAAAGTTCTTTGCCCAAGTATTGACAGTGTTTTTTTAACAGCTGATCATGTGATGATAACTTGGTTTTTTTACAACTGTCAAAATCAGGTAACCGACCACGTGACTTTATCAGTTGAGCATCTGCTCTCACTGAAGTAATGGGTTATTATAAATGAGTTATTATTATAAGTAAATATTTATTATAAATTACGAAATGAAATTATAAATAACGAAATAGAATTATGAATTACGAAATAAAATTATAAAATAATAATTTACTTATTATTCATGATGAAAATTGCGAAATAAAGCAGATATTTAATTATTGAAATAAAAAAAACTTTGTAATGACCCTTATGTTATTAATATTTATTATTTGTTTTAATCACAGTTCGAGAGAGCGAGGTGGGCGAGAAATGACGAATGACAAATGACAAATGAAAAGTGACCATATTTTCACAACTCGCGTGGAAATAAAACTATGGGAAAATTATGGGAAAAAATGAAATGTAATATTTTATAAAATTTCTTTTATTATTATGTAAAGATTATACAAGTACTGAAGGTGGGAACATTATATGAGCAAAACATTCTCTCATTTTCTCAACGAAGCTTATATTTCGCTCATTCGTGCATGATCCATCGTTTAACTGGTCACATCGTGTTAATGAAAAAAACAAAAATTGTACGTAACTTATGACTAAAAAGTTTGCTATTTGTACACGAGATCAAATACTATTTAAAAAGTATCAAATTTTCATTCTATGGACGATAAAACGCATGTTTTTAGATAACGCTACCTCTCATTATTCTTAAGCCTGAATTTGGTCCCATGTTTATTTCATGCAGCTCTTAGATAAATGTTATACAGATGTTAAGCGTATAAAAAATTACGCACTAATTTACAACTTAGGCGCTCGTTTGCACACACTGAAACCGACTGGAAGTTAAAAAAGGCCGGAACATCGTTTTACGCCGCTTCGGCATTCAATTTTTGATCGCATTTATTGATTAATTCAGACCAATTAAACGATTGATTCATAGTACAAATATTTCTCTAAACAATCACTGAATAATAGAAATACAAAATACGTCTGACTCGAAAAAAAACAGTTATATTACATGCCGAGAGACAAAAGAAGCCACTATTGTAGAGAGAAAGATATCTATTTGCTATTTGAGAGCAGTTGTGCATTTATGGCAGTGATGTAATTTTATATCGTTATATATTTTTTCCCTCTTTGCAATAATTTTGCTTTTTTGTGTCTTTGTGTAAGTGATATGATTTATTTATCATTCATTAATATATAAATAATAGTTATGTACATTTTAAACAAATCGCTAAAGGAAACAATTTCGTTCATACTGCTAGAATATATTGTATTAACTAGCATATAAAAGCACTCATTTTTACAGGCAGTGATGTAATTTTGAAATATTATGATGAAGTAAATTTATGGTGATGTAAACGGCAAAGAAAATCATATACATTAAGTCATGAACACGTTTTTTCTTTTTTATAAAAACAATCACATGTCAAGTCTGAACACCATCTTCAAAAAATTCAACTATGAATTATAATAGGATCAATTATATCTTCATCAAATGATGAAAAAAATATCTATGACAATCCATCAAATATTCAACACAGTTCACGAAAAATATTAATCTCTTGCTATCACCTAATAAACTCAGTTTCATCCGACATTTCTTCGTTTATATAATATATATATTTATATATTTATTCATTTGTTTGCTTTATTTTTTTTTCTTCTATTCGTATATTAATTTTTCTAAACTATATACAAAAATTGCTACCCCATAAAATATTTGATTAATACGAGGTTGCTAAAGAGATCCAGATTGGGATTATATTTTTCGTTTGGATAAATGAAAATTTTCACATTCATTTGTTTCAATCCTCGATAATACAAATTAACTTTTTTTCATACTATGTGGTTCATTTTAATTTTTTGATGGTTTCATTTTCTCCAGCAGTAAATACATATACAAGTTCTTTAATGTAACAGTTATACACGATCTACGATTAGAGTAACCATTTGATAATCGTTATAATAATGATAAAAATAGCTAAAAAGTTTAACTTCTGCAGTCTCTAGATCATATGTAAATATTATGTATATCGTGAAATTATTTTACATTCACAGATATATCTTTTTATTGGCAGTATTTCTTAGCTAGTGTGATATATCTCACGAATTTTCTTGACAAATCGTCTAAGCTTATATCATAAATTATTATGAATAATATTCGACACATATTAGATAATTTCATTCTTTTTTTTATTTTCAAATTTTCCTTTGAATCATCTTATATATGCGCATTACTGTGTAATTATTTACAACTGGCAATCTCATGAAACTACGTAGCATCACGAACTTGGATTTAAATAAACTTTACATTTTTTGTTTATTTTACAAATTACCCTATGGTTTTAGCGAGTTTACATATTTATTAATTTATCACAATAATCGAGAAGTTGTCGAAACATCTGCCACTTTTGACATTTATCGATATATTTACATTTATTTCTCTCAGATCATCTAGAGTTTGTATCACTGGTCATGAAAGAAGCAGTGTACAAATCAATTTAGATTGATCAAAAGTGAAAACTATCCATCATCTTTCAACAACTGTACAGCGCATATTATTTATGCAACGATTGTACATTTACGTTGAATCAAAATATTAATTTCGCTCTGTGGTTTTTAATTTCATAAGTTTTTGCCTCCATTTTTAATTATTTGTAATACTTTTAGCATAGAAAATATATATAACACAGCCTCCGCATTTTTATCTTTATGAGAGCAACAGTTTAATCATAAAAAATATTTTATTTAATTATTATCAAAATATTTCGTTCATACAGTTTCTTAAAAGGAGACTTTGTATACTTTATATTATACATCATCACAGCTGATATTCAGCTAATTCAAATGTTTTGAGAATATTATTAATATTCAAAAATTATAAAAAAAATTAACTACAAAAAGCTTTATACGTGATGACTGTCATGCTCAAAAATAAATAATCGTAGCCGGATATATTTATATTTTCTAAGCGTTTGTAATACGAAATAGTCGAACGATACTGATCGCATAATATTTGAGTTTAAACTCAACTAACTCAATACCCTGCCATGTGATAACAGTTAGTGAAATTCCCGTAACACTTTTTTACGATATAACCACTATATTTGAAAAAGAATAAATTAATCTTTTCTCGTCCAGTCTCTCAGAAGTCATGAATAATAGCTTCAATGATAATTTTCGTATTCTTGATTTAAAGGAAATTTACTGATGGTCAGTTGGCAGTATATAAATCCTTAAGGCCACTGGAGTGATTATTAATTTATTACTTTTGATTATTTTGTTTGAATCTTAATTTTAACGCCTCGTGCAATGTTTTTTTTCCTTTTCGAAATGGAAAATGCTGCGGATTTTTCTGCTTTAGTAAAAACTCTTTTGCAGAAAATTTTAAGGTCATGCCTTGCATTTGCTCGTAAGTATCATACAATCAAAAAAATCACGCATGACCAGAGGCACTTTTGAGGCTATCTATAATCATTCCATTGTATTTACTTTGAAGGATTGGATTCTTCGTTAAGTCTGTAGTGGCAGTTTTTATTTTTTTTCTAGTGGCAGCACTTGTTGCAAGCGCTAACTAATATTCTTACAATTACGTCACGAATCATCTTCATGAACAGTACCGAACAAAATTCTCTTTTTGTTCAATACATATCGTTGAAGGATTATATATTCCATGTAATACTACGATTTCATTTGTACATTCATGCACTTACGTGTTCTGTGAGACGAGTGTTTAAACTTAAAGTCTGTTGAGCGTGATGATTTATTTAAATTAATTTTAAATAATCGCCAGAGCTTGGACTAGGAAATTAGAACGTAGCTATATCTTACAAGTTAATTTTTAAGCATACGTTTTAGTCACTAATCACAATCCGAATCGCACAGGTTTCCTGCGATTTTGTCTCGCTCTTGGTTCCGATTTTGACGTTTCACTTGCACTTTTGAATAATAAGCTAATAAGTTCTTCTTCATTTTCTTGTGCGGCTTTTCTGATGGGTACGTGTTTTATTGTACTCAAGTCACATTCTAATATCCATTCGTCTGATTCGCTATTTAAAAATAAATCAATAAATTAGTTATTTGTGCATCCCAAAAAAATTATTCACTCAATGAAACATTCAACTCACATATTTCTTGGGTACCATTGTACTAATACTTCAGATTCCCCGGTTTTTCGTGTGCGTTTTCCAATAACCTAAACAATAATAAAGTATTAGAAATGATGCATTTGAGAAAAGAATACGAGCTTATTTTGAAATTATTTCAGTACATACTTTGCTTGTAAGAGTGATTGCATTTCCGGGCGTCTCAGCTAAAAACCCTTGAGTTCTAGACTTATCCATTTTTATTAAATCGTATTTCAGACATTCCATTGCTGCAGGGTCAAAATGATCAGTGACTCGTGCAGAATAAGGAGTTTTTCGCAGTCTCATCTTCTTCCCATTCTTTTTCATCATTTTTGCAGTACTCTCGGTCGACTTTTTTCCTGTAGATGTGTTTTGCGCCATGTTATCATCAAAGTGCCCATTTACATGCTTATTTAGCATACTCTGCAATTAAAAGTAAAAATACAATTGAGTACATTGCGTAGGCAGAGAAGTAAGAGAATGTATAAGATCACAAGTATTGGTCGAAGGGAATTTCGGATTGACAAACATGTGATCTTAAGCATTCATTTTTACTTCCCAGAGTATTAAGTCTATCTTTTCCTTTTTTTACATCCCCATGGTGTTACTTTCTATTTTGTAGATAGGTATTAAGAAAATCACTTCAGCCTCAAGGACTATACGTAATTGTTTTCGATGATACCTCATTAATCTATTCAAATATATCAACGGGATTAATTACATGAACCAAATAGACATCAGTGTACAAAACTTGTATTATTGAAGTCTCAAAAGTATAAATTCGTATTATTTACAATTAAAAGCACTATTAGACTCTAATTATGTTTCCGAATAAAAGTGTAAGCAATATTTTTTATTAACATTGAAAGTAATTATCGTGAGTATGATTGTAGTTTATAAATTATAATTTTAATTAATTTGAATATAGTTAAATTTTATCGACATATCTATGAATAATTGTTATTGGTGGTTAACAGATAAATTATGCGTGTAAACGAGACAAATTCAATTTGATTTGTGTTGAGCTTGTAATGTATGAATTATCGCTATTGCAATATTGAACTTACTACGGATGCATCATCAATTCAAGAAAAGTCTCGAGTGAATAATTTACCTGAGATGCAAATTTGGCACCGCAGCCCTCGACTATACACGAGAACGGTTTGTTGCCGGCGTGCGTGATGACGTGTCCCTCGAGCCACTTTCTTGAACAGGACACCTTTCCGTACACCTTGCACGAAGTCCACATACACGTGTATCGATCGTTCATTGGCTGTGAAAATATGTGCGCCGTCTAGAGTGGAAAAAGTAAACATTACAATCACTAACTCGTAAGACAAAGGAATCTTTGGACGCTCCAAGCGGGAAATTTCAATGCCTTACTTGTAAGTGCTCGAGCAGCTTGGCGGAACTGTCGAAGGCGCCCTCGCAGCTCTCCCAGCTGCAGATCTTGTTCTCGTCCTTGGGCGAGTGCGACTTGCGCGGCGGGAATCTCAGCTTCTTGGCGACGTCCACCTCGGGCGTGGAGCACTCGATCGGCATGAGCAGCGCGTCGGGCAGCGACTCGTCGCTGATGTTGAGATCGCTCGGCGGCGGCGTCAGTATGTCGTCGACCTCTTGCCGCCTCGCGGCCTCGAGCTTCGTCTGGTCGACGTCCATCGACATCGATGTCGTCGACGCGTCGAGATCGGTCGACGATACGCTGCTCGTCGTGTCGACGCTGCACGACGACGTCGAGCTCGCGTCGGCGGCTTTTTTCGTGTCCCCGGATATCTTATCCGCGTTGCCCTCATCGTCCTGTCGATAATCCTGCAAAAATTTCGAGTCCATTATTATTAATGGGCGCCTTCGGATGAACGCGCGTCAAAATTATCACGAGCTGTCTCGATCGATCAAGCTCAATTATAACTGCTATTGTCTTTAGTCATTCATCGCGTGTTTGTCAACAATTACCTCATCGATCACGAGCTTTTCGAGAGAAGTATCCATCTCTGCATCCTCGTAATACGTCGGGTGGGAGAGATCGTGCATTTCGTATACAAGTACCACTCGTGCCTTTTCCATGCTAAGATGATCCGTGGGCAGTGAAGGCGGAAGCATTCCTTTTTCCGAATTGCCGGAGTTGTCGCTCGTGTCGGTTACCAGTGTCTCGGACTCGTTGTCCTCGCTGCCGATCGTCATTTTAAGATTTTTGTCGACGGCTAGCTGGCCACCCTGCTTGTTGAGCACGCAACGATAATACGGCTGCTGCAACGAATGAAAAAACAAAAGTGAAATTAGTCTCATATTTATGCGCATCAACGCGCGAGTAATTCGACAAAAGCTTACCTTAGTCGCTACTCGTCTTCGCTTGACCTTGGCTTTGAAAAATTGTGTAATTTTTCGCGTCTCCTCTTCGGACTGCGCCGACTTCTTGTTGGCGATTACGATACTGGCAGTGTTGCTGCTGTCCTGTGCTCGGGCAAGAACGACGACTCCCGCGCTCGACGCACCGATGGCGGACTGTCGCTTGGTCTTTCTACCTGTGGTCGTCGTGGGACTGTCGTCGGGCTGTCTCGGCAGCTGACCGTGCCTCGGCTCGGTCTTCTGATTTTTGTTCTTGTAAGCCTCGTTGCTGGAGGCGGTCACGGCGAGCGGCGGCGTCCAGGGCCACTGCTGCTGCTGCTGCTGCTGCTGCTGCTGCGATTCCGTTGATTTGTTATTGTTATTGCTGTTGGCACTGGATTTCCGTGGACTCTTGGCGGTGTTGCTGGTGCTCCGTTGTTGATTGTGCCAGCTCGTCGAGGACGACGAGCGCGACGAACGCGACGAGTGCACGCCCTCGTCGATGCTGCCGGTGCTGCCGCAGGGCGAGCCCGGCTCCGTGATGTCGCTGCTGCCGCTGCTGCTGGAGGCGCCGCTCACGCTGAGGCTGATGCCGCTACTGCTGCTGCTGCTGTTTCTCCGACTGAGACAATCGGAGTGGCAGGACGACGCGACCCCGCTGCGGAGAGAGAAAGAGAGGGAGACCGATATAAGCAAAGACGTTTCAATGCACTTGATTAATCATGTATGAAAGTTTATTATTCTATTTTATAGGTACAGGTATAAATTACTATTATAGGCGTGATTAAAAACACGAGCTTATACCGGAAGTGGAAATTTCAAGTGGCGCATCAAATGCGTTTGGGTGTGTCATTACTATTCAGATTAAATATTCATACTTCATGGAATTAGACGAACACGAGATTGCTTTCTTTTCTTTTATTTTCATCGGACTAAGTGAGTAGATTTCGGCTTTAATTCAAGTCGAGACTAAAACTTTGTCCGTAAGTTTGTCTTGATTTGACGAGCATTCGTCTCTCATCCACACGAGGCAATTACGCGGGGAGAGAATACATCTCTTACCCCTTTATTTTATACACAATTTACATAGATACATAAATTCACCGCGCGCAGTAGTAGGTAGCAGCAGCAGTTCGCAATTTCGTGCGAAAACGATTTGTCCGCGTCTGCCCTCAAAGCAAATCCCCCCTCTCTCTGTATAACGTATACTTTTCTTGGTTTACACTCGTTCGAGTGCTTCTGCAACTGCTACCATTGTAAATTGATTCGTAGCAGAATCGAGTACTTCCACTCGGAGAGAGATAAAAATGAGCGCGTGTACTAATAATATTTTCCATTCTCGTGACATTCGAATTAAGCGTAATAAATAATAAACTGGAAAAAAGTACGCGAAGAAATTGCAATCGTACGAAATGCAGCAAGCGCGTTTGGAGTTACGTAATATCCATCGTGTAACTTCGCGATGACTTCTCGCTATACGTTTCTATGTTGTTTCGCGTCGCTGCGCCGCGGAGTCTAAATATAATTTCTTGGAGGAGAGTAGGGACACGAGGAAGCGGAGGCAAAAAAAAAACAGCAAACTGCACGAGACGCGCGCAGACACATAAGAGAGTATGAAACGAGAGAAAAAGGACTGGAGGTTATATAGCCGCTCGCCCGAGAGTATACGTGTATGCTGGTTGTACTGAGAGTCCCTGCGCTGCTGCTGCTGCTGCTGCTGCTGCTGCGTCGTCTACGTGCTGCACAGTGCCAACTTCTAATTCGAGAAGCTCCATTGAGTGTTTCGCTGCAGCGAGCAGCCGGCGTTACGTACAGCGAAATTTCAGTAAACTTTTCTAAATTTATATTTCGCCAGTAGTAGGAAGAGAATCGAATCCCGAGCAAGAAGTCGACCAAGCAAACCAATCACGAAGTTTTGACTCGTAAAGAGAGAGCGTCATTATAAACATCGCCGTATAAGTGTACAAGGTACCGAGGCGTAAATATATACACAACGAACAATATACGCTCGGCGCGCGATACTTTATCCTTGCGGCGATATATAATGTTTTTTTTATATATATCGCCGATGCAGCTGCACAGAGATATACGGTTACATGCACGCGTACGTAGTAGAGTACACTCTCGAGCGAGCGCACACTGCACGCACGCGTCCCGATCGATACAGCAGCTTGGGTTTTAATAGCCTCTATACTATGGATACATCGCTCCGAAGGATGAGTATATGACTTACGCACTGTGTATACAAACAGGCAGGCAGGCGTCGTCGATGGTGTCTCCGTTTCTAAATTGCGTATCGACAGTGTGCATATGATATAAACACCTTTACGGGTGCTCGCGTTCGAGAACATCGAATTTACTTGTACCGATATTCTTTGTAGGTGCGCGTAGACGTACGATGCACAATCTTTTGTACTTGCGGCTTTGAGTTAACGCGCTTGCAACCATCCCAATAACTCGCGAAATTTACCTTCTGCTCTCTTGCAGCCTTCCGAAGGAATTACGGCCGAAGAAGAAGAGTCCTTAACAAGGCAAAAAACACAAAGTCCATTAAAACTACGTGGGCGCGAGCGCGCGGAAAGGGATGGCACCACCACTTCTGCTCTTTCGTCTTCCGCACTGCACACGGTACATCTTGAAATTCCCGAGGACGAGATATAAATTTCTTCGCGGCGTCCATCTGTATTACAACACGAGAGAGAGAGAGAGAGAGAGAGCCGAGAGAGAACCGCACCCTCGTATAAATTTTCGCTAAAAGCTAATTACTATTATACGTTCAGAAACACTTTCTTCCTTCGCGCGGCCGGTCTTCCGCGTAGAGTTGTGCTGCAGTGCGTGCCGCGCCACGCACACACAGCGCAGTGGTGTAAGTAACTAAGTAAGTGTATAACGCGCGCGCGAGAGCCAGTCTCTCACGCCCTTCTGCACCCGCAAAACCTTTTATAATTACCCCTTTATCCCTTTAGGATTTGTTCTTTAACGTCCGGAAATTTCTATATCGCTCGCTGCTCGCCAGCGGCGCCGCCCTTGATTAAAATTAGTCGCACTTGATTTACGCGTTTTTACACCAGGCGCGCGCAACGACGAAGAAACACACGAGGTTGGGAATAGAAAATTTTAAATTAAATTTTCCCTCGCGCCGAATAAATAGCGCGCGCGTCCACGGCCACGTCGAATGCAGCAGCAGCAACAGCAGCAGCAAACTCGTCGACTTTTCGTTGATTAAAGAGAAATCCATTGGATATGTATAGGAGCTATCGATTTCCAAACTGCGCATGAGTAAATAAATTATTTTCCAACGTGGTTTTAACATAAACTCGCCACGCGCGCTTCATCGTTTATTTACTTTATTTGCCTGCAACTTTCATAATTGAACGCGATCAAATCATTTCCTTTTAATTTACTTCGAGCCCAAGCTGTAATCACGTTTCACACGTCTCGAGGCGCGCGACTACTAAGAGGGCGGCAGAACGAAGCAAAATAAAAAAAGTAGCGCGCAGTACCATCCTCCTTCCATCGCGTTATATACGTATATTGCTGCTGCTGCTGCTGCTCGCGCGAGCTTATTTCTTCTAGCGTAGAAACGACAAATATTGAATTACGGAATAATCAGCTGAGAAATTGCTCCTCTCTGGCACGCGGTGCAAGGCGTGCGCGCGCCCAAGGACTTTAGCCCTGATTGAAAGCTCGACTACTCCGCGCCAGCAGGCAAACAGGCAAGCGGCGCGTCATTATTGATCTCTCACCTTTTGGCGCGGCGCGTTGAAAAACCATTACTAAACCATCTTTACACCGTACTCGATTCACGCTCGTGCGCTCGACTTTATGCGAAATAAATTTCTTTCCGTTTTGAGATGACAGCTTATAATATATATTTACGCACGCGCCGCGCGCCGTGTTTATATGCATTGAATAAATGACCCGAGAGATCGAATGGATCTCAGAGGTATTGCAGTGTAACGCAACAGACAGCAGGCAGACGTCTGGGCTGATTAAAGCAACCACTAAGACGTCTGAATTTCGTATGCCTATAGAATTTGCGAGGGCAGGCAAACTACCCACTTAATTAAATCAGACTACACAAGCCTCTTTACTTACTCAGAACTCGGGGGACGGATATTTAGGTTGTAAAATAGCATATCAACTATATTCCCAGTCAAACTGTTTAATGTTGCTCACCTGAAACAATAAAATGATTGATTTCGTTAGGTATTTTCTTATGATTGACACAAACGAGTTTGAGAAATATATTTTTAAAATATATATGAAATATAAAATGAGTAACGTATTTTCACGCACGAAAAAAGTGAAATATTACACTCGGTGAGAGCATGAGGTTGATTCTCGAACTACCACACACGGTTTATCATACACTCCACGCGAAGCGGTAAATATTCATGAAAAATTGTTATATGGATGCAAATTTTTCTTTGAATACGTTTAAAACTATTTGAATCGTTAATAGCACACTTGGAAAAACAATTTCACCCGAACGCGCTGCTCGCGATAATAGATGTTACACCCAGGAGCCCTTCCGCGATCGTACCATCGTGCGAGCATACTTCAAAATAGCGTTTTAAAATGCAAAACTGTCGGGAAAAAAATTCGCTAATACTTCGGAGAGTCGAAGTGGCGCTCGCGCGCAAGCAAAAAAGGAAGAGGGTAGCGGATAAGCTATACACATACGTTGTCCCGAGTTCAATTTTTTGACGTCGTCTAGCTCCGTGTAAACATGGCACGACGAAGCCCCGTGCGTGCCTGTGGCGCGCCGCCGCGCACGATATTTACTAAAAAAATATTCAAAATTTCGCTAGCTTATAGTACGGGGTGGTAGCGCTTCACGCCGAACACATTGAAGCAAAAAAATATTCAAAATTACATGACTGCATATAAAGGAGTAATTCGTGTGTGTAGCGCGCGCGCGACTCGGAGCGGTGCGTGGAGGCAGATCCGCGCCGCTTGTGTACACACGTAAGCGCGCACCCCGCGCGATGTACATCATATGCATACGTATGTTCGGGGTATGGCTTCAAAGAGAAGAACAAATTGAATTTTAGCGCCCAAACCACTGCTGCCGCTGCTGCTCCGGCGAAACCAAATATACATACGTGCACAAACTGGCTTTATTATAACAAGTTATGTGCCGCGTATAGGTATGTTAAGTCTATCGAGCGCGCAAATACGAGCTGGAAATGATGGGCCAACTGTGTGTCTACGGGCTTAAAGTTAACCACAAAAATAACATTGATACTTTTTTTCGTTAAATCACAATTTTCTATTTTAATTTAACTGACAAAGGTCAACTTTGAAATAAACCGCAATTTCACACGTAATGTTGAGTCAAGCATTATACTTTTTCTCAAGTTACACGTCTCAGGCGCGTCATCAAACTTCAAAGGAAACTGACGTCTATATCCCACCGTCATACATTTCGAGCAGATTGCGTCGAGCATAGGGAACTCTATACTTTTTATCTTGCACGAACTTGGAGAAAATCAGCTCGTCTCTCCATGAAAATTGCAGCTGCTCCATGTATATGTAGAAGCGCACGAAATCGCGTTGTATAGGGCGAAAATCTAGAATTCACATTTTAGCTCGAATCTTTGGGGTGGCCTCTGCGCGTGCGATGCAGAAGAGAGAGAGAGAGAGCTCACAGTT